ATCAAATTAACATTACTTGTATCAAATAAATATATATTTATATTTAATAAATATTTAGGCAATATTCAACTAAATATTTATTAAAATTGACTATATTTTTTTCAGTGTACAAATAATTCTTGTATTACAATCAGAAAAGAATGGTTTTCAAAATGTAAAATTTAGCTAACATAAAAATTTGAAAATAATTTAAACTATCAAAATAATTATATAAGTCGCTCGAGCTAACTTTTTGCGGTATTACTCATTATGCTTCAGCAGCCTACATAATAATTTTAATCCAACAAATTATTTTCTATATCTAATAAATTTTAATACTTCAGCATTTTTTAAAATTTTTATACTTCAGCAAAATCTCTCCGTGTATAATACTGTAAATCCATTATTGTATTTAGAACGAAATCTATTATTATATTAAAATAAAGGATGTCACATCTGCCATAACTTAAAGCATAAGTTTGTATCTGTTACTAGCGGAAAAAAGAAAGAGAATAAGCGCGATAATTTTCAAAGCTTGAAATATTTCGAACGCGAAAGGAATAGCCTTCGTCGGCAAGAGACATTCACGCCGGAATTACGCTCGTACGATACACTCGCAATCAATTATTCGCGCATAATGTCGGATCCGAGCGCGTATTGTTTGTTCCGTGAGAGAGAGAGAGGGGCAAAAGAATTATTGCATGTCGGCTCTTTTTTTCTTCGGTGTACATTTTCCACCTCCTTCTCCTTCTGGGCAAGGCTGTAGTATCCAGATACTCGGCGGCGAAACGATTCTATGCGGAAATTTGCGGTTTTATCGGAAATTCATACGAGGGATGGTTCGCGCAAACTCCGGCGCGGAAATTGGACGAACTTCGTACGACCCACGGAATTCGGAATCCACGACGTGTGTGCGGTCGCGGTCATCGCGTTTCATCCTCGTTGTGTATACAACGCTCGACATCACCGTACATGGCTCTGCCAGCGAGAATAATTAAATGCGCGGAACAGTCGTATCATTTTCTCGACACGGCGAAGCTGGCAATAATCATGTTGAATGACGATGATCGTCACTACTAATAGAATTAGTAATTTGAGATGAAATTTATAGCGAAGCAGAGAAATTTAAATAAAAAATTATTCTTTTGGATATATCTGTAGCTATAAATCCTTTGCAACACTGAGAAAAAAATTGTTTATTTGACTAACTTATTCAGTTTGTCTTAATTTCTTTCATTCATTGAAGAATATATGTAGTCAAATATAAATATGTTTGACGTAAATACTTACATATTTTATTAAAAGAAATAAACAAATTCAATTAATTTAATCAAATAAACAATTTTTTTCTTAATGTTGTAACTAACAATAAGTAGTACAGTGAAAAATCTGAAATTATTAGAACTTCTTTAAAAATGTCAAAATATAATATAAGTATTACAATCTTTTAAAATTAACATTTTAAAATTAACATTTTAAACTCCTTTTGATTTGCTCTTATTATGAAATATCTTATTAACCTTGGCTTTTGATTCTCAACTGATTTACTCATACTTTGCTTCAATGAAGTTAAGTTCTTCAGGTATTGTCGAAAAGAAAATTTTAAAAAGTTAAACTACTTTTAAAAAATTTTGCAAACCGATAGTTGGACAGACAGTAGTTTGCTACTGTCTAAAACTTTTAGAATAAATTGTCATTCTTAAAAATAGAATGACATGACTCTCATTCTTAATTAAACCTTTTTCAAGAATGGCTCAATTTTCACTCTTTAAAATAAGATTCCACTTTAAAGAATTTAGAGTTTCTATTCAATAAAGAAAAAAAATTACGAAATAGGTCTATTTAAGAAAACTTTTAGATGGATTTGATTTGATAATAAAGCGGTAATAACGTGGAATATCGTAACGCGAAGATAAGCGTTGTGAAAATTATTTCTCGTGAAAGTATCATTATGTTCATCCGTTTGAATTCCATTTTCTGCTTTCACAGCTGATCTTCGGTCTAGGCACACCGTTGCAGCTGGATCGTGAGAGCGTAATCGTAGGTGTATTTACGAAAATGATATACGATATGCCGGCTGATGCTACGGATTTCACGGAACCAGGAGTGTTTTATGCGAGAACCAGTAGAAGTAGGTGGAGCTTCTACAAATTGTTTGAAAAAATGGCAGCCATGTACGGCTTTGGTGGCAAAGAGTGTTTACTCAAGGCCATTTGTGAAGCCGCTTTCGTCCCATTTGACGTCCATCACGGTTTACTGGGACAATTGGTACAGACTTTCCTTAGGTAAATGAACCATGTGCTATTTGAGAAAATTGGCATACTTGAATATCGGCGCGACGCGAAACATAAATCTTTTTTTCAGATACGTCAGTTATATTGAGAAAAATTTCTAGTTGTAAATGGACGAAGAAAATTCTAATCATATTAGTCAGAATTCTGATTATCTCAATTGTTTCTTTCCTTAAATTTTACCTTGGATAGATGATTTTGCTTTACAGATCTAAAAATTGTGTTAAATACAGATCAGAAAATAATTTTGTTGGACTATCAAAATAATTCTGAAAGACTCTCAAGCTGATTGCTAGAATATCAAAATCTTTCTCAGCATTGCTGACATTTTTCCAGCATGTCTGAAATTCCTACAATTATTTTTATCCAAAGCAATTATTTTCAAATCTGTATCTAAGTTAATTTTTTAGATATTTCAGCAAAATTGTTTTTCCTATGTACGTGATTTTAAATTGTATTGATATTAATTCTTTTTTTAATCGACGAATAGTTTTATCGGACTTTAATAACACGATACTAACTGATCGTTTCGACCTCAATTTTCATTGAGATTACATCGACTATATAATACTCGTTGAAAGATATACCATTAAAGTGTCTGATGTGTTAATATTACGATGTATCCTACATATATTTCTCCGCGATCCCGGCGATCCCGCTTATATGAAAAAATGTCTTTATTATCGATAATCGTTCGAAGCAGGCGTTCTCGTCATCGGCGAGAAAAATCGATTAGTCGTGCCGCAATAAAACGTCGGCACCAGTCGCCCACACATAACGTCAATTACATGCGAACATAATGTCACGACGGAGACGGCGACGGTATTTAATAAACACCGTATCGAGCGCACGCCAGGATTTTCCGATAAACCGTATCCGCGGCTCGCCGATATTTTTGTTTTGTTCCGCCGGCGCCGTTTCCGAAGCGACGTACGCATGGTACGAACACGGCCGTTGTAATTTCTCACGGCGCGACAGCCACACGTACGTATGCACGTGTATGTGGAATACCATGAAATTCCAGGCCCTCCAGCACCCGGGAAGAGTACGACGAGTATGGGGATCGGGAATATCGGGCGGCTGAACGGCTGGGAGAGTTGGCGGAGGGCGCTGGCTGCCACGCCCTTTATCCGGAATGCCGCAGAAGTGTGCTCGACGTGTTTTCTACATTGACCACGTGAGACGATCGGATGAAAATCTCGATGGAAAGAGCGGCGGAATTGCATCGGAAGTACGGACGGAGTCCAAGAGATCGCTAAAATATCGGATCGCCGAATGATTTCATCAAAACGCCAGGATTGGAAATTCAGAAGTTTTACATATTAG